TTTTTTGAAAGGTAGAGTTACAGAGAGATGGAGAGACAGAGATAAAGGCCTTCCATCCACTGGTTCACTCCCCAGATGGCCACAACAGCCGCAGATGGGCCAGGCCCAAGCCAGGAACCAGGAGCTTCTTCCAGGTCTCCCATGCCAGTGCAGGGGCCCAAGCACTTGGGCCATCTTTCACTGCTTTCCTAGGCCATAGCAGAGAACCAGATCAGAAGTGGAGCAGCCAGGACTAGAACCAACGCCCTTATGGGATGCCAGCAACCACAGGCAGAGGCTTAGCCCACCACACCATAGCACTGGCCCCTATACGTGGCTATTAAGCACTTGAAGTTTAGCCAGTGAGAATGACGAACTGACTTAAAATTTTCATTTACTTTTCATTATATGACTCAATTATTGGAAAACTTCTAAGTATGTTTGAAAGCTAAGCCTGCATTTTCCACTGTAAATTTTATAAAAAATAAAATACACATTAAGTGTTTCTGATTAAAATTTAGCCTCTAACTGGAGATAGTGTCTGGAGTTTGAAAACAGAAAAAAAAAAACATGTAAACTACTTCATTAATAATTTTAAAACACTGTTAACATAGAAATATTTTAGATGAATAAAGTAACTTTCATTATTAAAACTGGTTTCTCCTACTTCTTTTTACTTTTCCAAAGGTGACTACTAGGAAGTTTACAATTCCATATGGGAGCTCACATTATAGTTCTATGGGACAGTGCTGCCCTATAGCTAGACTCTCCCATCACTTACAAGGATGCTCAAGGAATATAATCCTGTCCCCTACCTCCTCCCTGTGACAAAGCCCCCATTCTGCCAGACATGTCCTACCGCACTGGGCCACCCTGGACTTTCTCAGATGTTCATTGGCAGGACCACCTTTTCTAGCAACCATCAAAACATCGTGGGGCCATCTGTTTTCACTCAAACGCCTCACTACCATGTCCTGCAAATGAGCCCTGAAGACTCGGCCTGCAGAAAATTAATGTTTGATAAGAGGACAGATTTGCTCTGGAGGAGCATCCAGGTTTCCCTGACACGAAAATAAATCAAAGGTTTATTTACAAAATGTAGCCAGCTATTATCCACAAAAGGAACCTTGCATCAAAGTACCAGACAGACAGGGATCATTAGAAGGAAATAAACAAGCATGGCCAGAGAGAAGTCCGAAGCAAAGCTGAATTTATTTTCCTGTTTGGGTAAGGGAAGGCCCCATCACTCAAGCACAAGTTCAGCTGGTGACTCTCTGTAGTACTTGAAAGGGCAGAGAGCAATGGCAGGCAGTAAACAAATCTGGCTACATTCTAGGTCCAGCTCTCTTTGGCTCAGAAGGCTGAGCACGACTCTTCAATGCAGCAGGACACCACACAGGCTCACTTGCTCAAGCCCTGTTCCCAACTGTATGCAAAATGCTCGAAGGGGCTCAGTGTCAGACGCAGATCTGACGGGGTTGCTTGAAGTGGCCTGAAACTTTCTTGAACAGCATTTTAAGTGGCACATTAGGGTAGGCAGGTTAATCCAACCAGAATCACCAGTTACCCGTCTCTTCACTGATCTCCTTCTGAACAGCCAGGCCAAATTTCCTTTTTTTGGTAGGGCAAAATGCAAATAAACCATAAACGTGTACTTAGAATAACAAATTTTATGTGCGTAGGGTTGCCCTTTCAAGGTATAAGAGAACAAACTATAAGCGTCATTAGAACTAACAGAGGTACAGAAATGTTGGTACCAGTACTATCAATGTCAGCCAAAAGGCAGAAGCAACCCAAGTGTTCAATGATGGATGAACCGAGAAAGAGATGGTGTGAAATACAAACAATGGAACAGTTCTAAGCCATAAAAACGACTGCAGTACAGTGACACGTTTGACCGTGGCAATGCACCTCCACATAGTATGGCAAGTAAAACAGGTCAGACACAGGAAATAAGTCCTAGAGGCAGAAAGCACAGTGCTGGCTGCCAGTGGCTGGGGGCAAGGGGACGGTGATGAACAGGGCTTAACAGGTACGGGATGTCCTGTGAGATGCTCAAAATGTGTGGCACTAGACAGAGGTGGTGGCGGCACAGCCCTGGGAACTGCTGGATGCCAGGGAAAGGTACTTTAAAATGCTTGTGAGGCGCATACCTCAAGTTTCTAAAAAAGAGGGAGAAAGAGGGCAGAAAAGTTCAGGGTTCTTTTGCGTCCCCATGAACCAAGAAAAGAGGGGAAAGCGATCTGAGGGGGCAGGGCCTGCTGGACAATTGATGATGAATAAACAAGGGGAGGGGAGGGGAGGGGAGGGGGCGGTCACACCCAAGAATCCAAACGAGGCCAAAGGCACGTGAGAGCTAAACCACCAGAACAAATTTCTAACTGGTTACCTGTAACTGTATGCACATAACCTGGTGCTCTGAAAACAGAAATGGTCTTCCAGGGAGGCAGAAGCAGAGACATGGCACGGGTGCCTTCTCCAGGCCACGGCTGTGGCCTGGAGGAGGAGAGCTGGGCTCTGTGGGGCACTGAGCGCAGTGGACCCTGGAGAGGCCTGGGACTGTCACACAGGCAAATCTGCCACCCATCCCACCGCGCGGGGCGGAACCTGTCCGGTGGACTCGAGCTCTATTTTAGACTTCTACACATGACACTTCATCCACTATGCACAACACTGCTAGACTAAATCAGTACCGACTGCAATCCTCTGAAAGACGTCCTCAGGGTTCACAGGGCTCTTCCGTCCATTCTGTGTGTCTGTAATAGCACTGGCTGCCTGTGACCTGGCACAGCACGGCGGAAGCCTGGAACACCATGCTGGCTGCAGTAAGCCAGTCCTAAAACGCCGACTAGCATAGGACACCCCTATCCCGAGCTCCCCGGCCTGGTCAACCTCAGGGCAGGAAGCAGGGGATGGCTGGGGGAGGGGGACTGGGCGGTCGGGGTCAGATGGGTGCAAAGTTTCCATTCTGCAAGATGCAAATCCTAGGGCTCTGTCACATGGCCATGGGAACAGACTAAATGCTACTGAACCGCAACCTAAAAATGCCTGCGTGGCACACTTGGTTTCTTATGACAATCAAGAACTCTGTGAAAAGCTCATCTTGCTAAAACAGCCACTTAAACCTTGGTATTGCAATTTTATCGCTGCAAAGACACTGGAAGCTCGGGGCTGTCTGGACGAAGCTAGTAATGAGGATAACTACAGTAACAAAAGGGAACAACGTGAGCAAAAGCTCCGTAGTTTCCTAAGCCCTTCCCTGGTTCGATAGAAAACCCAGGGACGGAGCTTGGGTGGACGGCAAGCTTGGACCTGAAACTGTAAAATACCGACACAGCAGCCACAGGTGAGAGAGTGAAGTGGCGCCTCAGAGCGCCTCTAGGCAGGGCTGCTGTGTGTTTACAAGAGAGCCGGCCACGCAGGACTCAGGAAGGCGGGGGCGCTGTGCTGTTCCTCCGGGCTTTCCCTTTGCGCTGGTTTGTGCTCCTCAGCTGCGGACAGGGCTGAGCTGCCCGGGCTGCGGCTGGTGCCGCGGGCCTGCGCTGCTGCCTCAGTTGCAACCCTGGCGGCTGCAAGGTGGACGGGAGCCGGGACTGCTGCTGGGGGAGGCTCTGCCCAGCTCCTCCCTGGGCGGGGCCACGCTGACCCGCCACGGTTGTCTGGGGCGGCACATCACCTCTGGCTTGGCCGATCCTGATGAGAAGGCCTTGCTGAGCCTCCAGAGCCCATTCCTGCTGGCCTG